AACATAACTCATCAAAAAACCATGGTTTCATCATTACTTATTAATTTTGTTCTAATATTCCAGCAGATTAACAAAATGTTCTTTTATATCTTACTGAATATAAAAGTCAATTAGTGTATGTTTCTGGTATTCTGAAATTCTGAAGAGAAGTGTTAAACCTTTCTGCACCCAAGAAAGAATCAGATCAACATCATTGGTATTCAGTTTATTGCCTGATAACTTGCCAAGTGTTTTAGCAATAGATTGCACAAATACTTTGAAGTGCTGGAAATCTACAGTAGCAAATACAGATATGCAATACAGAATTCAAAATAACTGATTTGGTACCTCTTTAGATTAGATTTAAGGGTCTTTCCACTGATGCAGAAAGAAGGCATAACAGATGTAGTATAGCAACATTAAGGAGCAGTCTTATTGTTATGAGAAACCTGAAGTTTCTGAATTCTTCATTGTATTGCAGGGTGATGAGTTTTATCCTAAGAGAGTTGGCAACTGCAGAAAAGAATCTACGTGTATAGCATTTCAAATCTACATGAAAGTAAATTTCAGTGTCTGCTTTGTTTAGCTGCAGCTTGCAGTGTAATGCTTGATTTTCAAAAACAGTTCTGCACACACCTAACACAGCTGTGGATGTTGAAATGAAGTGGAGTCACCTCTGTCTTTGAGGTTCCTTTCTGTTACATATGTACAGCAAGTTATAGGGGGGAACAGCACATGTCACATAGCTAGAATGGGACTGCCTGTGCTTAAAACAGCTATTTCCACTTTGTGTGCTTATGAGGTGCTCCTGTAGTCCGTACACTAAATTATGTCACTAAAGGAAGCAAGCATAAATTCTTTTATCTTCAGTAAGAATTTAATACATGTAACCCGAGAATATGTAACAATACTCTACACTGTATCATATATAAGGAGCCCTTTCAGTGACTGTGGAAATGCAGCCACCTCGGGATTCAGTATAACAACTGTCCAACAGCTTTGCATAGTATTTCTCTTGTATTACACAAATTGAAGAGATTGTTACAATTTGCTAGAAAACTCAGAATAAACTCTAGGTGTAAAAATTATAATAATTATGATTTATTGCCTGAATTTCTGTTTACAGAATATGGAATATCCACTGATTACAGATTTTCCAAAATTATCTAGATCTTTGTGCTTTAGGTTTTCCTCAAGGAAAAAAAAATGGTTTTGAACATTATAAAAGGCATGTTATGATCATATATATTGTAGAATGAAATATTATTTATGTAATATGCAAATATTACAAAAGATATCACAAATTAAAGTTGCTTTAATACATGCAATATGTTCTTCCAAATACAATAATATATTCTTCTGAAATTAGAAAAGGAAGGTTTGTAAAACCATGATGTGGCAAAATTGGTCCAAAATCCTCTATTGCAAATACTATCAAAGGAAAGACAGAATAATATTTTGTCCAGCAGACCTAATTTGTAAAGCATGTCTGGTAGAGAATCAGCCATGGAGTCTATCTAGGCCACGTGCAACTTGCTAATGCACTATGACTTTGGGAAAAGACAACTGAAAACTGAAGAAAAGCACTCCAGCTGCAGTATATTGTATTGTCTGCATAAACATATGTGCTTTAGGTGCATGCTTCTATTACAGAAGCTGAACTCCAGTATACTCATATTTTATGAACATCTTGCACTGAAAGGTGGAAGGAGATTTTCCTAACCAATGTTGTGCTGGCAGCTGAAATGGCTGAAGGATGGAGTCATGCTGCAGAACAAAGGTTCTCTAGAGTGGGAAGCAGCTATGATTAATTTTCTGATGAGTTTGTGAGTTGCTTCTCTGGTATGCATTTCTGTACATTTTACTAACTATTTTGGAAAACCTAGCCTAAAGGTCTTTTCTTACTTCTGTCCAATCCACAAGCCAGACTCAAAAGAATGCAGAGTAAGTCTGATATTGATTAATAAATTCTGGTTTGATAAAGAAGTTACAAAAGCCACAGAGGTTTAAATCTCTTGCTTTGTGAATTTAACTGAGTCACAGTTATGCACCAAAATTTTGTTTTTTCTTTGACGCTTTTGGAATGATGGATGACTCATGTTGATATTAAACTCATTAAGTATGTCTTTTGGGAGAAAAACAACTACAAAACAGGTTTCATTTTAATTCCCCCATTCTTCAAGGTGCTTATTAAAATAGAATATAATCTGAGTCTCTGAGAAAATGGTAGTAAAATGTTATAATTGAAAGCTGTATTCTTTATCTTTAATAAACAATATCTCTCTGTTAGTAGACAAGACTATTACTTCTAATGTAGGAAAAGGTCACTTATATTTCTTTTGTTTCTATATTTTTGACACCAATGTGGTTTTTTTCATTGTTTGGACTATTTACTTTGCACTTCTCTAATACAAACTCCTTTGTCACTTACTGGACCCTTTTCCCTGTAGTCTGAAGTTCTTTTCCTTTTTAATTAGATTGACCTTTTGGTTCACTTGGTTGCCCTCAAAATGACTGAGAATGACTAGTCTTTTGGAAGACAAGTTGAAATCAGCACAGAGAGACTGAAAACAGTCATGTGAAATAAAAATATTTTATGCAGCTATCCAGCTCTATAACTGCATAATCGTTATGTTCATAGCCTCTAACACAAAGAAATACTGGCCTCTGCAAATTTTGTGACATTTTAATGATGACAGGTTCTTTCTCCTCTCTTTGAATGAATGCTTTTATACTGCACTTTGTGACTAATATTTTCAGAGTATATTTTTACTGTCCTATAATGATTTGCCTTTTTACCCTTCCAAGTTACAAAGGGTAAACTTTAATTGCAAAGTATAAGTTCATTTGCTACTGTTTATTGCATAAAGTCTATTTCTCTTCTTTTTACCATCATAGAAAGAAATTAGTGTTTAAGTTACATTTTCTAGGTAAAAGACTGAAATAAATGGACTTTTTTCTTTTCTTCTTTTTTTTTTTTTTATTCTGGGTGATTAGACATCATTCGAGTAGTTTAGAAAGAAATATAAAGAGATACCTTTACAAGCTTATATAATTGCCCTAAAAGCATAATGGGTGAAACACAAACTCTTTCATTTTTCTCTAGGAAGATGATAATCAGCAAAATTCACATTTTCATTTACAGCAGTTACAGCAATGTACCTGAAGCTATGGAGTGAAAAACATCTTCTTTCTTGGTCTTTTGGGTAGTGAGAAGGAATTTACATCTCATCTCTCTACTCAGTTGAAGGTTCTCTAATTTTTAAATGAATATCGGGTCAGAAAGGGTTCATTCCCAGACAGGTAAAGCTACACAGAGTTCCCAATAATAACTGAAAGGCATCTGAAAAATTAAGTATGAGTTACTCAACCAATATTAATTTAATACAAAAGGGTTTTAGATTTTTCAAAAAATCTGTGAGGAAACCTGTTTTTTTGGTACTTCTTCATAGAAGGAGAAACATTTCTCTTCTGCATCGGAGTTACATTCCATTATTTTCAGGGGCCTGGTTGATTTTCAAGAAAAGTGACTAGAGTGGCTGATCTAGCTAATCACTGAATACTGTCAGACTTCCACCACATGGCCCCTTGTGTTAACAGCCCTTGTCTCTCCTGTCTGTATACAAATTTCAAATCAGGCCAGCTCTGTGCCTTGGAATGAGGTGTCCAGCTACCAGTGTTGAAATGCTACTAGCATTGCTGGAGGTTCCAATTTTTCCTCTTGGTGCTGACCTTTAGAGCTGGTAGTGCAGTGAGAACTACTAAATATTGCTATTTTTGGAATAGTAGAATCAACATCTGTACTTCTTGTTGTTGCTTTGTTTCTGTAAAGCCACACCTTGCTCTTATACATTGATCAGCCTCTATCCAATGAATATGTCTTAGATCCACTTAGAAGCACTTCAGTTAATATCCCACTCCTATTATAACCTTTCAGAATGTCTACTTCATTCATTTTAAAGGATGATAAGCTCTGTTATTTTCAGGACTACACTGTATTTTGGTTCTTGGATGTAATAATCTAAAGTACTACCATCAAGCATGATCACTGCTGTCTTATGAGGAAGCAGGAACATTTCCCCTACTTTGTTTCCTAGTCTTTTTGCTCTAATCCTGAATATTTTTCTGTGTAAAACAAGGTAACAGAATCTTAGCTATTTGATACAAAGAATTTATCAGAAAATAATTTTTTACATCTCTTTGAGCAGACAGATAATGTACTCTTGCAGTTGGGTTTTTATCCCAGCTCTTTCTGGCCAGTTGCTTAGCTGCAGCTGAAGAAATAACTGTGCTATCATTAGGGCATTTCTTCAGGCAGTGCAGGATTTATACTTCCACCATGGCTTTTATGGAATTTTGTGTAATGAGGAGTTTCTTGCTGAAGAATTTTTAGAGTGCATGTTCCTTTTGTTAGTCTAGTGAAATTCAGATTGTTGTGGGAAATATTAATCTAAATATTTTTGTAAATGACTAGAGTGAATTTTATTCTTTTCAGAGGAAAAGGAAAAGCCCTTCATCTTCTCAATGATTAGATAAGTATAGCTTAAATAGACAAAAGGGAGTGGCTGATCATGTTGTCCTAGACTTTCAGGGATAGCAAGTCAAAAAGAGAAACAAAATTAATAGCCCTTTTCACAAATTGTGTTCTGAAGAGGTTTTGTGTAATTTTAAATAATAAATAAAGGTTTACTGTTCTAAAGTGCCACAAAGTTTAAGGAAGATAATCTATCCAATCTTAAGGCACTAATTAAGTAAAATATTAATAAAACTTTTCACATAACTGAAAGTAATCACTGCTTTATTCCTTAAGGAACCAGACAAGTTATTAATTATCAGCCAAGGTTAATATTTACTCAAAATCTCTGAGACTTTTCATAGCAAAATAAAATTACGTTTTCATCCATAAGTTGTGCCATAACAATTTTTAAGAAAAATAACTATATTTTTGAATGCTGTTATAAACTAAGAAGATTATCTTATGTGTTTAAATTATTTTCTATATGTGTGCATTGACATTACAGGAGGAACTGGATCTACTTTTCTAACAACTGAAAATCATACAAAGACATACCTTAAATACATTAAGAAAAATCTTATTTCTTCCATCTGCACAGTGTACAGTTTAAACCACAAGGTGAAACCTAACAGAATTCAAGTGTAAGGTATGTTTTCTCATTAATTTAAAACTTATTATTTCTATTTCTATTAACTGTAGAACTGACTGTTTTCTGCTTCATCTATACAGTGACTTAGTTGAAAATAAATGTTTCTCAATGTATATTTTGAAATGTTTTTGTTTTGTTTCCTTAGTAATTTGATAAAGTAATTTTTAGGATACAACTGAATTTGTTTAAAGCCTTTCAATATATTGCAATATGATCATGTATTTTATATTGGTTAATCCTCATAGATACAGAAAAATGCGGACTGAATTGACAGAACTTTATATAAAGCTATGACTCCACAATTTCCCAACACTTTGCTTAAAAATGTGATAAGTGATTTATGTTTTGATTGTTGCACATGTAAATACTACAACTCCACTCCTCTGTGACTAAATCCCTAGTGGCAGAATGAGACTCACTGAATAAACTTCTTTAATGGAGGAAATCTCAGAGAAGATGGACAAGTATCAACCCCACTATGCCTGAAACCTAAGGGCATCTTACTCAGCATTAAGCACTCAACTAAGCCCAAAGATAATCCTCAAAAGATAAGAACAAGGAGAAATTTATGACATTAGAGCATTGAATTATCTCCTTTGGTTTGATGGCTTTTTCAGTTGACTGTATGGAGATTTCTTCTTATATTTTGTCTGGAATTATGTGGGAAGGATTCATATGAAGCATTAAAGAAGGCAGTAGTGGAGGGGAATAGTCTAGTGCAGTTCTGTTCTGCCCTGTCATAGGACTCTGTGTCTGGATGGATTGCTCTGTCTACAAGAGGTAACAGCTCATTTCAGGGACTAATCATTGCTTTTGTAAATGAGGAAATGTCCATAGCAATTCAGCTTATCAATCAAGAAATTTAAACTATTCTCTGTGCCAGGAAATTAAACATTTTCTTGCATTTGTTATCTTTCTTGGGAAAAAAATAGATCAATTTGTAGAGATGTTTGATATTTCATTGGAATATGCTTTACAGAGCATGCTTACAAAACTCACAGGAACGGGAATGGTGCAGATGAAACTCTGATGAAGAGCTATTGAATTTCATTGATTTATCATCCAAAGGCTAGGAGTATATGATGGGAGAAACTGTAGGCTTTAATAAGCTTCTTGGAAGCTTGATAAAGATATGTTCAAAAGGGAGAGAGAATACTATTTAGATAAGGCTATATTCTATGAGACTAGAATGTGATTATTTGTCTGATATTCAGAGGTTTTGTAAAAATTATGCAGAACTGGCACTTGGCAGGATGACCAGATTAAATAAAAATGGGAGCTTTATTAAGGCAATCTTTCTGTCTACAGATTCTTATTTTCAATTTAAATTCAGGGCATAAGAAAGAAGCAATACAGACAAAAATTTTCACTTCAGATATCAGCCTATTCTGCTACAGAAAAAGAAAATTGGAGAAGGAGAGAATTAAATAAACAGTGCCGTAAAGACCAGCAAAAAATATTAATAAGGATATAAACAGTATTCCCCATGTATTTGATCCATTTCATGCCAATTATGTATCAGTATTGAATTCAGTTTCAGATATGCAAGATTCTGTGACCAAATTTCTCAGTGATTCATAATAAATTAGGATAACTGCTCTCAGGGAAACTCTAAAGGGATGAGACTTCATACTTGCCAAACTTACCTTAGTTATATAATATGTATGGCTTTTTGTGTGTTTGATGTTATTCTGAACATTGTGCATGAGATGAAATGGAAATGCAGGTCTTGGCACAGTATTTTTTAAGTGGAGGATTTTGAAGAAATGCCTCTGTGTGGTTGTGTATTCCACTTCACAGAAAAGTCAACAGCTGCACTGCATCATCACTGCAGCTCCAGATGTTCAGTGATGACAGAGTTTTCTTTTCTCATTACATATCGATGATGTAATGCTTCATAATACATCTTACAGACAGGAAAAGAGAAGACATTAACTTGATGAATATTTCAGATACATAACAGCTGCAAGTTTTGAAAGGTCATCCTCAGATATATTCTGATAGTACTTGCTCCCAGAAAAGAAAAGAAAACAAATCTTTCTCTCTCATTTACGTTATTTTAAACCAAATCATCTTTCCTAAATTATGACTTAATTTTTTAAGTCTGTCTTCATCAGGAAAGATTTTGAAGCTGCAAATGACAAATAACAGATGAGTCCATAGTAGTAAATGTTAACAGACAACAGATAGGACTTTGATTGAGTTGTGTCAGAAGTATATCAGCAACTATTGCCTTTGTCCTACGATGACAGTCTTGTAAAGAATAAAAAAAACTAATGTCTTGATTTCAATCTTTTAGCACTGTTTATACTAAGCCTTAGCTCAGTAAGTGACAGACCCTATTTTATTTCTAGTAAGTCATAATTAGCATCATCATGTAAGGAATCCTTTAGTATTTTCTGCAGAAATAAAAGTAAAGTTTTCATTTTAGAAATAAGAAGATGCTCATCAATCTTTGGCTCAAATTCCTCAGAATTCCTTAAGGACCCCTTCTTTGCAGTTCAGTAGCAAATCCTTCAAACATATGTCTGCTAAAAATGTAAGGTAACATGATAATTTTTCAACATAAATCTGACATTTATGGAGTCGTTAAAAGAACATCAAAATGCAAATTTATAATAATAGCTGTTATTTTATCCTTAGGCAGTCTGATTATTCAGGCACCTATCTTGCATGCAGGAGTTACCATGAAACACCTCTGTTTTTAAGTGGAAGCAGTAGTACTAGTGTCAGTAATGAAAAAGGATGAAAGTATGCTTAAGGCATGAATGGTATGTATATATTTTTTTAATAAATAGATTAAATAATATATTTTAAAAATTATTTTTAGTACATGTAATTCCTTCTTCGGGTGTGAAACAGAGCAAGCTGATATTTGATCTAGAATAGAATAATAGATCTGAGTATTACCCAGTTATGACGTTCATTTAAGCTGCTGCGGTAAAAAAGGGTGTGGTACTTGGGGAACACAGGGGAGGTAATGTCACTCTCCATAAAACAAAAGAGAGACAAATGTCACGTTTGGGACACTGAGGAGAGAGATAGGAGGAAATTAATGTCAAATTAAGTCACTATGTTTGCTGAGATAATAATTTCTATAGCCATTTCTGCTACAAATTGTAGCTTTCAGGCTCACCACTTTGAAGTACGCCTTAGGTTCAGGACTGAAGTCAGAGGTGGAAAGATATTCCACCAAGATATACTCTATCAGTAAGTAGATGTTCCTGGTTTTTATTGATCAAGTATGTTCATTATAGGAGGTATCAACTGTGTCAGCTATAAACAAAGGTGTACCAACTGAAGTCTAAATTAAATTGTGACTGCCAAATGAAAAAACTGAAGAATTGAGACTATTAATTTTGTTCTAAGCTCACCCTGAAATAATTCACTGATTCAAAATGTGCTTCATTTTCACAGGAGAATAAAACATTAGTAGGAAAATAAAATGACCTAATAATAATAAAAAACCTGAAATAGACCATCCAACTACAGCATCAACAAAAAACCCAAACCTGAAAAACAAACACCCCAAGCCAGTTACAAGAAAAATAGAGAAATAAGCTGTTGCAGATGTTACTTAGTAACCATTACTGCTACAAATAAAACAGAAGAGTAGAAGATGAATCTGAGACAACTGAAAGTACACTATTAAAAATATCTTTTGTCTTGCACTTGAATTGCTCTCAGGACATTCAGCAAAGACAGGATCATATTATAATATATGGTGCTTCTGTTTCTACCATTGTTACATTTTCTCAGTTGGTGAAATCTCAGCTATCTTGCTAAAAGCTAAACAAATATTTAAGACTGTTTCTAACTTCAAGTATAGTAGGATCCCAATTAAAGCATAATCCTTGAAATAACTTACTGAATCTAGACATAAAAACTTGCTTTAGACAATAGCAAGTGCAGTGGTAAAATTTTTAAAATATTTTTATACCACTTGGGCTGAAATAAAAAGGCTTTGACCTGGCTTTAAAAAATATCCTACTGAGGATATTTTTCACATGAATATTTAATTTGTCTACATTTTGGCTTTCATGTTTGCTTTCTAAAAAAAGTAGGTCTTTCATTTAAAGTAAAATAATGAAATTTATGCTATTCAAAACAAAATCAAAAGTGAATATGAACAGTGATCCCCACAGCTGTAAAAAAAACCTTTAAACAATATTAATCAGTTACATATGTGTGTGTGTGTGTGCAATTGAGTCAGACAGCATATAAAAAGCCAGATTATGTAACTAGACAACCCAACAGCCTTTTTTTTTTTATTTTTAAATAAAAGTTATTGAGAAAAAAGCACCAGGAAAAATATCAACATTAATTTCAAGATGTGTTTTATAATGTAGCTGCTTGTGAAGATGCTGTGATTCTTTTTGTAACTGCAAATTAATTAATTGCTAGGAGACCTAATTTGTTGACCTAATTGAGACATGCAGAAACCCCAAGTAATTTGTCATGAAACGGACACGTTTCCTTTTCAATGCATTGCAGTATAGTTATCAAATTGAAATATTCATCATGAATTTGAGAAATTCTTCTCCAAAAGTATTATAATAAATATATTATAAATGAATACATTTTCAATGCTTAAAGTTAAGTTTAAAATATTCATAAATAAAATACTATCATGAATCAAAAAATTCTCATTCTATTTAACACAGTCAGATAATATCATATTGATATTATTACACAAAAAAAATATTGGAAGAATTCCTGTATGATGTCTGCATATTACTGTTAACTAAATTTATACTTTTTTTATGCCATCTCAATGCCCTAAATATGAAACAGAGACATTATTACACCAAAGTCTTTTCAGTGCAACCCTCAACAAAGTATCATTTCCCCGACAATTTTATCTTAATAAGATGCTTGCAATCAAAATACACCGGACATGACATAGTGTCTTAATAACATCAAGATGTAATCTGTGATGCAGTCTCAAAAAATGTTTTCTGGACGATTTTGGTGTTTTGCTGGACTGCTTATCCAGGCCAGGATACCACTGGCGTTCTTGGCCGCCTGGGCACACACTAGCTTGTGTTTAGCCATGTGTCAAACAACATCCTCAGGTCCTTTTGCACTGGCCATGTTTCCAGCCACTCTAGCCCAGCCTGTGGAGCTGCCTGGGGTTCTTGTGACCCAGGGACAGGACCCAGCACTGGGCCTTGTAGAACCTCACACTGTTGGCCCCAGCCCATCAACCCAGCCTGTCCAGATCCCTCTGCAGAGCCTTCTTACCCTCCAACAGATCAACATTCCCACCCAAGCTGGACTCATCTGCAAACTGACTTAGTGTTGGATCCCTTCATCCAGATCATTGACAAGAATATTACACAAGTCTGGCCCCAGTACTGAAACTGAAATGCAATAAATGATGATATATGTAAAGGGTGAAATTTGCCCATGTGCAACGCTTATTGCTACAGTGAGCTGGTCCTATTCACTAAAGTAAATTTTGTCACTTACGGGAAACTCAGATGTTCACCAAGAAAACATGGAATAATGAATAGCCTTTATTCCTACCTCACAATATAACTAATACCATGAAATCTATGCCTGCTTCTCTTCCAAATATTAAAAATTTATTTCAGCCTCTTGAGAACAAGATTTTCATCTGTGTATGTGTTTCTATCAATTTGGGGTAATTGACAAAAGTTGATTTCAAAAAAGGCTCTAACAATGGCAGTAATTTGAATGGCAGATGAAATAGATATAGGAGAAGCTGATGGGACTCTAGAGGGACTTGAGCATTCAATATTGAGCTAGGTTATGTATTGACATTTAGGAAGGGTTGATACTTAAAAGTTGAGTAATCTTTAGGTTTCTTCACAAGCAAAAACTGAAAAAATTATAACCTGACTGAGAAATCATCTGTCCACAAGAAGTAAAAGAAAACTATTGATAACCAAATTTCCCCTGACAAACCTTTTTTTTCTTTTTTTTTTTTTTGTGTCATTTGGAGTGTCTTTTATACTCTTCAGAAGACACTAGATTGGAAACCAATTTACATCAAGTTTGCTTATGTTTACTGAAAGTCAGGATGGTGTAGTTTTTCCTAGTCACCCACAGAGGGAATAAAAAGTTTTCTTGGCTAGAAACAAGCTGATGCTTGTCTAGATGTTCTAATATAATAGGTGAGAGATAACTTTATTCAAATTTCTCTTTTATGGTTTTTGTAGGCTAACTCTGGTAGGCAGCTAAGTCTCATACAGCTGCTCTCTCTCACTTCCCGACAAGGGATGGAAAGAAAATCAAAAGTGTGAAAAATCTCATGGGTTGAAATAAAGACAGTTTAATAGGGAAAGCAAAGGCTGCACATGCAGGCAAAGCAAAAAGTGGAATCAATTCAGTACTTCCCATTAGCAAACAGATGTCTAGTCCCCTTCCTGGAGAGCAGGGTTTTGTCATGATTAGCAGATCTTGGAAGACAAACACCATAATTCCACACATCCCCACATCCTCTCTTTGGATGCTTTTTATTGCTGAGCATAATGTACTATGACATGGTAGTACATAATGGGATATCTCTTTTTTCAGTTGGGGTCAAAATATTCCCTTCCAATCTCTTGTGTACTTCCAGCTATTAGCTGGTAGAGCAACATGTGAAACAGAAAAGGCCTTGAAACTGTGTAAATGCTGGTCAGCAAACTCCAAAATATAACACTATATACCTTGTCTTTCTTATGAAGTGGCTATGGCAATAATGACATTGAGCTGTTTTGATGATATTGCAATCTTAAGCTGACAAAGCTGGGCAGAAGACAATGTAGGGGAGTGAGTGGATCACAGAAACATAGGGCAAAGTATTCTTGTGGATATTGGATAGAACATACAGAAAACGGTCTGGCTTTTTCTAAAGCCTTTAAAAATTACTTCAGTTTAGTGTATTTTGTTTAGACAATTTTTATGCAATGGAGATATGCCAACATAATGTGGCCTTTAGCTCCTGTTTATCATATTTAGAAGATTATCTCAGCCAAAACCAGCACACTTCTCCTACAGAATATAGATCTTAAGATGTAGTGAATAAAAATATATACTTATGATAGCACAGCTTTACATGGGGGCAGTACACTTTGCAGTTACTCATTGAGTCTCATTTGTTATGCATTGGTAATAATGCCAGTCTCATTCCTGTAATATTAATGGAAAGAACATGCTGGCATTTTAAATAGAGCCTCTGATTTGTGGCATTATTCAGCTGAATAACTATTTAAAGCTTGCACACAGAAATATTTGCTGTACAGCACAATTACTAAAGTGCGTCATAAGATCTGTTGATTCTGAACTTTAAAGACAGGAAATGTAAAATTCCTATTGAAGTGAAAATGTTACTAGGAAATGTGAAATTACAACAATGGTGACACATAGATACTACACCAAAGAAATTTAAGGGATTTAAAAAAATTATTAGTAGTTTTTGATGTAAAGTATACCTTGACACTGCTGAAAATACTCTTTAGCAAAAGGAGGCAATTGTAGAAAATATTTCACAAGTTGATGATAAGAAACATGCTGCAAATTTGCATGAGCCACAAAATATTCCTGACTTAAACATGGGAAAAAACAATTATAATAAAAATATCTGTCAAAAATTATCTTTTAATTGTGTGACAAATATGATGGGAACATATGAGGAGATTAGCAATATAATCTTTAGAATTACCTTTACTATGTCTTATCC